ACCTCTCTCAGATTTGTTCATTTTGTAATGATATATTTAATTCTCTAATTTTGGTGAATATTTTTGTCATTTTTGGTAAAAAGTGATATTTTCGACTTCTTGTTGAAAACCGCAAGTCCAATTGCTTTGATATTACATATATAGGTACTACATGTGGACCTCTCTCAGATTTGTTTATTTTGTAATGACATCTTTAATTCTCTAATTTTGGTGAATATTTTTGTAATTTTTGGTAAAAAGTGATATTTTCAACTTCTTGTTGAAAACCGCAAGTCCAATTGCTTTGATATATTATACATATAGGTACTACATGTGGACCTCTCTCAGATTTGTTCATTTTCTAATGATATCTTCTGTTCTTTAATTGCCATGTGCATTGCTAACAGCGGAGCTATCTCAGCCGACAGGCTGCTTGTACATATATAGGTACTACATGTGGACCTCTCTCAGATTTGTTCATTTCATGATTATATCTTTAATTCTCTAATTTTGGTGAATATTTTGTTGTTTTGGTAAAAAGTGATATTTTCAACTTCTTGTTAAAAACCGCAAGTCCAATTGCTTTGATATTACATATATAGGTACTACATGTGGACCTCTCTCAGATTTGTTCATTTTGTAATGATATATTTAATTCTCTAATTTTGGTGAATATTTTTGTCATTTTTGGTAATAAGTGATATTTTCGACTTGTTGAAAACCGCATGTCCATTTGCTTTGATATTACATATATAGGTACTACATGTGGACCTCTCTCAGATTTGTTCATTTCATGATGATATCTTCAATTCTCTAATTTTGTTGAATATTTTGTTGTTTTGGTAAAAAGTGATATTTTCGACTTCTTGTTAAAAACTGCAAGTCCAATTGCTTTGATGTTACATATATAGGTACTACATGTGGTTCTAACTCAGATTTGTTTATTTCATGATAATATCTTTAATTCTCTAATTTTGATGAATATTTTTGTAATTTTTTGGTAAAAAGTGATATTTTCCACATCTTGTTGAAAACTGCAAGTCTGATTGTTTTGATACTATACATATTGTTCATTTTTTAATGATACATTCTGTTCTTTAATTGAAATGTGCATTGCTAACAGCGGAGCTATCTCAGCCGAGAGGCTGCTTGTTTAGATATATTATTGTATTGTTTGTATCCATTCTTGAATTGGATTCTAACTTGTTAATTACATGTAATATCTAGATTCTCTAAGAGCAAGGTTGTAATAGTTATGTGTTCTTGATTTTGTTGTTTACAGTGATAGTTATGTGGTACGAGTACGAGCACTGGTGATGGTAAGGGACGAGTCTACTGGTGGATGGACACCTTTAGCAGGTGGCCCACTAAGTATAGTCGGTGTGTGTAAAATACAGCCTGAAGATGTCAACAAGAAGAATGAATATGTCATATACGGTACTATGGTAGAGAATCAATCTGTAAGTATGCAACTGTACTGCTTTCTGTATCTTGGTGTTTCTAAAATTCAACTGTCATTTCTAAATATAATTGTACACTGCAAGATGTTCAGTTTCAACATGTGTACTTTTTGTGAGTCTTTTTGAGTCTTTTTATCAGAGAGCTAAATACTTTCAATCTTTAAAAATTACATAATTCTCTGAAACTTTTTAGGAGCCATATATTAAACATATTATGCAACCATGCATGGGTGTTTATTTCCTTCAGAAGTTCACACGTTTGTGAATAAAACGTTGAATCAATACAAGATCGTATCAGTTCTGTTTGCATTAACACTAGAAGTGCCAAAAATACACCTACATAATCCAGAATTCTGTGATTGTACGTGTTCAGAAACATCACACTTTCGAGGCTGTGTCTTCTGTTTTGTGCTATGATTTTTTTAAAATCATTATGTGATTCTTTGTTTAATGCCTACGTGCAGTGAAAAATCATAAAGACAACCATGCAAATCAGTATGATACAAGTACTACTACTACTAATGTTAAATGCATTTTGTATGAAATTTAATTTCACTGATTTGTGATGTGTTGAATGTAAAATATACCAAAAAAAAGTATTTTCCCTAAGTTTCATTTTCACTGATTCTCCCTTTCAGCGAAAATAGTGAAAATAATTTCCAAGTGAAAATTAGTTACTTCAGCGTACTATGTTTGGTCTCCCATCCAAACCAAATTACTTTTGTTTTCCATACTTGTTGCTTTTTCATCACTGTTCTCAGTTTAGAAGTATTTGAGTGGGTTATTGACCTCTCTTTGCATTTCCACTATCAAACATTTTAAATTTCTTATCAAACAACCTGCACCGATCTATTCATTGTTTACTGTTATAAATAAGATTTTCATCATCCTTTTTATTCACCAATTGATATAAAAAGACGACAGACTCTTTCCTCGCAGTATAGTTCACCTATGACGTACATATTAAAGTGTTCAGTTTGAGCTTGTCAATGTATTGAGATTAGGTACTGCCATGCTATTGGTTTGAATATTGTTCAAATGATTTTCATAAAACTGTGTAATGGTGAATTGGTTTCTTCCTAATTATGTCTGGAAACTTAGATTACTGTAAAGTTAAGAATTTGTCTAAAGATGTCCAAAGCATGGGATTATGTCATGCAAGTGTGACAAATTATAATGTGTGGTTGCTGTTATTATAAGTGAAATGGTACAGTTCTTGGAAGGATTCACTGCTTTATGATGTAAAATAATACACTATAGGTGTCTACTATACATGGTATGAGACATGATGAGACATGGTGAGACATGGTGAGACATGATGAGACATGGTATGAGACATGATGAGACATGATGAGACATGGTATGAGACATGATGAGACATGAATGAGACATGATGAGACATGGTATGAGACATGATGAGACATGATGAGACATGGTATGAGACATGATGAGACATGGTATGAGACATGATGAGATATGATGAGACATGGTATGAGACATGGGATGAGACATGGTATGAGACATGATGAGACATGGTGAGACATGATGAGACATGATGAGACATGGTATGAGACATGAGAGCAAATATTGATAATCAACAACAATGGTTTATTGAAATTTTCTTTTATTTACAGGTGGTATTGGAGTGTGTGTTACGAAAAGATGCAACTTACACAAGAGTGAATCCTACTTTTCACCATTGGAAAACAGATGAAAAAAGGTTTGGACTCACATTTCAAAGTACCGCGGATGCCAGGGCTTTTGATAGAGGGGTGAAGCGAGCCATTGAAGATCTTCTGGATGGTGTGTAATCATTTACAGTAACCAAATTGTTTTTGTGATTTATTTACATAGAAAGCAGAATGGATATCAAATTTACTGCTAAGTGAAAGGCAGTATTTTTTAAGATATATCAAAATTAACTGTCTGTAATAGTGAAAGGAGGTTGTGCTCCAAGATGTACTTTACCTAAACAAGTTTAATAATTTTTTTTATTTTTCTCCCATTTGAAGTTCGCCCTCTATAGTCCAATATTAACTGCCAATAGATTTGTCCTATAGAGGGCAGTGTGAACAAAAATCAAACTTAAAACAGAGTGGATAATAAACAATTTGCCCAGTTGTACTACTTTCTTAAGTTTCTAATAGTCAGCTCCTGTTATTCAACCCCTAATATACCTTGCATGTATTAATGGTCTAACTTTCTCCCCAACATTGGGTTTGTAAGGTCACTTTAAGGTCACCCATATAGACTGGTTACTTATGTTTGGTCAATTCATGTCACTAACATTTTTTATATCTCTCTTTTAATTGCTGCCACTCTTTATGGATTTGCGCGTGGTAAGTTGTTGATGGTTTACAGTCACCAAATCATTTGGTGATCTTCTTGAGTTGAAACATGCCACAACGTTCATTGCAGTAATCGTATCTACTTGGCACCCCCACTTGCACCCCACCTCCCAATTATCTGCGTTGGTAATTCTACAGTGACTGATATTGGCCATTTTATATTGCTGATGCTCACAGCAATTCTAGGCATCCTCCGTGGCAAGACTATTGATGTCTGTACTTGCATTTCTCACTGTTCTTTCTGTGCTCGTCTTTCAGGCTCTTCTGATTCCTCTATGAATCAAGGCACTGATGCGGAGTTAGGTGATGATGATGTTTTTGTTTCTGTAAGTAATGTTACCTCCTTATAAAAAGTTCTACAGACAAATATCTTGCTCTCATACCATCATTTTACCCGCCAAAAATGACAGAATGATGTAGTAAAATTATAAAAGTTTTGTAAAAAGCAAAACACTATGCAGTGATTGTGTTGTAGACCTACAAGCTGTATTCAGTTAGTGTTGTTTATGCATTTAAACCTTTTCTTTTTTGGTGGATATTATTACCGTGTTTTCGTAAACCATAATTCATGATGTTAACTTCATACTATGACTGAACAACACCTTAAAGTTGGGGCCTGCATGCATCCTCTATTACAAATTAGACAGAAAACCAAAAAGATGTCCTCCTTTGCAGTCACGCCTCTCAAAACGAATGGATTTTGCCTGGCATTCATTTTCTCAGCATATCCATTTTTGGCAGACCTACAGTTTGTTGAGCTATACCAATGATATTGTGTCTCCATAGTGTGGAAAAATAGATGGATGGATGGGGGGGGGGGGGGGTGAATGGATGGATGGATAGATGGATGGATGCGGAATTTCTACCATGACACTATTTGGTGTACAGTGCTGGTATTGATAAAGCACATGAATTGGGTTGACCTCTATCAGTTTTGTTAATTTAATGACATAATCTTCAATTTCCTATTTTTGTCATTTTTGGTAAACTTTTGACTTCTTCTTGGAAAATACAGGCTCAATTGAAACTTGTGGAAATCAGTGCATGTTACTAATATATGATAGTAATAATATACACTACACTAGCCTTAGCCTATAATGAAATGTCATTCATTTTATGTGTTTTAGGACAATGCATTGCATGTATGTGCAGTAACATGCTCAGTTGTTCAAAATTTGAATTCAGCTCAAACTGCCTGTATTTTCATTTTGCCTTTCTTTGCTTTTTTCCAGTCTTTTGATTCAATGACAGAAGCTCACGGACCTTCTGCAGGCCAAGTCCCTCAGGAATGCGACGTCAGAGACCCCCTCCTTGTTGGATTTAACTTCAATCACCCACATGCAAACCATCATCATCTTCATCGTGTACACTATGTGTCAAGGAACAATAATAAGGGTACGAACGGAAAGGCTGACGAAAAAAAGCACCAACAACTACAGCAACACCAACAACCACAGACATTACAGGAAGCTGTGTGGGTGAAGCATGCCAATTTGGAATTAAGTGGTAACGAGCCAGTGGATGTGGAATCTGATTCTTATGTACAGTTTCAAAAAAATGCACCAAGCATACATGAATATAGCTACCCTAGTATTGACTCAATTAGGCCTGATCCTTGGAAAGAGGAGGAACTGAAGAAAACTGTGGTAGTCTCCTCACAACCCCCACCGCTATTAGATAAGAGAAATAAGAAGACAGACTATGGATTCACGCATCGTGCAAGATGTATCTATTGTCATGAAATTTTTAATCCAGATGACAATAGATGTGGTAATTGCCCTGATGCACCCGATGAAATGCAACAGTGTATAAACAAAGTGAGCTGTGTTAACTGTGCGTCTTGCATGCTTTATTACTGCATGTCAGATGCAGATGGGGACTATGGCGATACTTGCTCTTGTGATGCGAGTGATGAACGATTCTTCAGACGATGGGCAGGTTTGACAGCCTTGTCATTTTTAGTTCCTTGTCTGTGGTGCTACTTCCCATTACGGGCTTGTCACAAGTGTGGCGGGGCATGCGGTTGCTGTGGTGGAAGCCATAAAGCTGTCTGATGGTTATATACCTGACACAACTGCTGGTGTGTAGCATACAATTTGTCATTTACCCACAACAGGGTATCTTCTCTACCTGATGTTGTTAACTTAAAAAGAAGAAGGAACTAAGGATCTAGTGTCAATGATGGTGAAAGACATTGAATGTGGTTGTTGTAGTTTAACTGCAATGCTGATTGATGCGCTTAATAAAAGTCTATAACCTGAGAGGATCATTATGTACGTTAGTTCTGTACTAAAAAATGCAGTGCATGGAACATGTGTCAATATCATAATTTGTCCTTTGCAGTGTCATATTACTTGCAATATTGTAAATAAGTTGTTTTTGCCACCATCCTTTAGTATCAAGTAATACTTATGTTGTACTGCAAAAAGGATTGGCTTGGGGTGGGTGGGTGAGGGATGGGATGGGAAGGGGGGAGGGAAGGGAGAGGAAAAGAAGGTTTTAAGACAATGCTGTCCTTATTTTCCAAAACGTTTTCTACAACTCCCCATCGGTTTAGCATTTTAAGTTAGCTGTGAAAACACTGCATACATTATGTCGAATTTATTTTACCATGATGGTCTGACAATCCTGCACCCCAACCTCACCCCACTAAAATAAATGCCTGAAAACTTGTCAGTGTATAAGTGGCTCTTGACTGTATAATATTAATTGCATGTCCTTCATAAAGTACAATTCCAGTTAGTGACTTTTTATCCCAGACACTATACAGATTAAATCAGTTTGCTATCAGTGTTTTATAAAACTATAATGCTGCAATAGTATGCGAATTAATATTGATTACGTTGCTATATTTTCCACCTCCACCCTGACTGTCTTACAAAAACACTTCCATTTACACTAAATACCCAAATGCAAGAATGACTGGGGAATTTAGATTTTAGTTTTAGTTTTAAAATTTGAAATCCAAAAAATCATGTTTCATTTCAAATTTGTTTTGTGTTCTACGCTATCAATTCACGTTTCCACAATCAAACGTTTTATATTTTAGAATGCCCTTGGTGATGTGCACTGGTCTACATGCTTTTTTCTGTTCAATTCATTTCGCATTGCTGGGTCTTTCTTGCTGTATTTTTCACTTAAGACACACATGAAAGTATTGGAATCACATATTGTGTGAGTATATACTGGTGACGGGCTGTCATGCTGTGGAAAGGCAATTAACAGTTGATGCATATGAATTGTTTTACAGATTCATCTTTGCCCTGTACGATTACGATTTTAAAAAGTGAGAATATTTCCCACCTTGGTAACAACTAATTCTTCCATTGTTAATCATACCTCAAATATTTTTTCGGGGGGGGGGGGGTGTTTGGTGGACAGCATAGTAAAATTATATTTGTCTACTCAAGTATGAGCTTAGAAAATGAAATCAACATTGAATGCTGCCAGAGTTAATTGTCATTACAATAATGATGTTGATTGTGAATTTGAGCACTGCCATCCTCAGCCTACAAGCCAAACTCTACACATGTATGTATCATCCTGTTATTTTTTTGTAAAGTTAGCAAATTTACTTTTTTTAAAGCAAAAAACGTATATAGAGTTATTTTACTCCTGGTACACTCGGTAAAGTAAAAAATAAGATTGCTTTATTCTTTTTTTGTTGTTTTTTTATGAAAAACAAACGAAAAAAAGGTATTTTTTATTGATTGAGGGTAGGTATGAACCACTTATGCAAATGAGTTGAGAGAGATGAGCCTTGATTGGCTTTTAATTTTTGTTGATTCAGTAACTTGCAACCACAAGGGTAAATGAATAAATAAAGACAGAGTTTTCGATCTCCGTCAAATTTAGGTTCTTATTTACCCTATAGAGTTAATGCTAACTGACACACTAGTTTGCAGTCAAGCCGGTATTTTTGAACAATTTTTTATACATTACTCGTTTGTATTTCTTATATTTTTTAGTTTTACTGAGAATGTTAACAAACTAAATGTTTTCTGCCATTCTTTTTAGTCTGTCTGAAACCCTGGTAGATTTACCAGTTAAAGGGGGAAACGGACTATTACATGAACAAACAAATTATCACAGTTGAAATAAAAAACACACATGTGTTCGTACATTTCAATCATGTTCCTTTTTTATTGTGTGGCTTTAAGTTTTCTGTAGCGAATGAGTGAGTCATGATGTCACTTGTCATCAGTCGTCAACAACCACGGCCTGTATATATGTGATATTATGCTCACATTTTTGAGAAGTGACTTAAATCAGTGTTTGGACCAGGTAAGTAGTTTTTGCGAGTCAAAATAAAATGTATGTACTGTAAAATACTTTATTTTCGCTTGGAATTGATTTTTGCTGAAAGAATGAGTCAGTGAAAATAAAATCCAGCGAATATACCTTTTTTCCTATATTTTAAATTCAACTCATCAGAAATCAGTGAAAATAAATTTCAAACATAACACCCAAAAAGTCTTAAGTGAAAATTAATTCCAGCTAAAATAAAGTATTTTACAGTAATTCATGTGTCAATGTTGCCTCCGAGGTGAACTGGATATTGACGCTGCCCTCTACGTTAACACGTGATGTGTACATGTCTGTCCACGGGCGTGTTCATGTAAGAGTGAATCATGATAATTTTACAGTGTACTTGTATTTAAACTTGACACGGAAAATAATCTACTTTTCTTCATAAACCAAATATAATGAACAACGTGAATCCACTAAAATTAAACTCATTGAATGTCGCTTACAGCTCAGATAACAATTATGTTACGTGAGTTTCCAGTAAGGCATTTTGTGGTCTGTCGATAGAGGGCGTCCTTTGTGATTTTCTTGGCTGATTTGATTGTAGACCGCAACATCAAGGAATACCTATGTAATAGAAAAAAGAAGCAACTACGGTTTATTCTGTGAAAGTATTTTTATCAAAGTAACGATAAATCTTTTAAATCGATGATACATAGGTGTTTTCTGTGCGTGCGTGGTTAGTTTTGTATTTCCCAGGTATTCGCCTCTTCTGCTTCGTGTCACAGAGCAACTAATTTTAAAATCACATTGACAAGATTTCTGCAGTATCCTAGTTTATTTCCCAACTAATAGCTTACTCATTCAATGTATCTGACAAAAATAAACTTGTACAAATGTAGTAGTTCTATCACTGTAAAAATATCTAAAAACAAACAAAAAACAAGCGCCATTTTTACCGAATATTATGAGTTTAGTTGACGTGACGAGAATTCTCACCCAGTCTGATTAACATCTGCAACGATGATTTATAACGACAGATAAGATGTATACAGTGTGTATAGGAACAGATAAAAAAGAATACAAAACGGTACTTGAATAATATAGATGCGCAACGACAGATAAAACAACAAATACAGTTACAAAACTGCAGATAAAACAAAAAGGAGTAAAAGAGCAGATAATTTCATAAAAATAATTTTTTGACAGAATAGATGAGAAATGGCGAATAACGCATACATCAGATTTAATCAATCAAACATAAACGCCTGGATCCAAAACTGAGTTCTGTTCAAGTTCAAAGGCACTGGGGAGTTATTTAACGCTATGGGCTTCGTTGCATAAATGTTTTCAGTCTTTTTCTAAGTAAGTTGGCATCAGTGACTTGACGCATGTCAGATGGAATGGTGTTCCAAAGTTGAGGAGCAGCATGTGAAAAGGCACGTCTCCCATATGTTTTCAATTTATATTTAGTGGTGAAAAGAAGGTTCTTATTGGAATAAAGCATACGCAGGTGTATATAAATGAAGAAGATCACAGAGGTAGTTTGGAAAAAGGCTGTTCAAAGCATTAAACATTAACAGAATAGTTTTGTACTCAATTCTGTGATGAACAGAAACCAATGCAGTTTTTGTAGAACTGGGATTATAAGCTCTGATTTTCTAGTACGAGTGATGATTCTAGCAGCCCTGTTTTGGCTTCTTTGAAGTGGATTAATAATATTTTCTGGAAGTCCAAATAAAAGTGAATTCCCATAATCAAGTTTGGCAGAGTATTGCATGAATTCAGTTTTTGTGAATTAAGTCATCGTTGAGGTATTTCCTGGTGTGACCGAAGCGATGAAGGTGAATGGTTTTGCATGAATTCTTTAACATAACATGTGCAACATAAGGTCTGTAAGGGACGACGTCAAAAGATCGATGTCGGATAAAAAACTTATTTCCTTTAGTTTGGGGGTGGGGGTTTTGACCTCAAAAAGTTTCCATCCTACAAAAACGATTTTATTTTTAACGAAGTCAAAAAAATCTTGGAGTATTTGTAGTTCTATCCATTCATGGACAGAAATAACCGAAAAGGGAAAAAAACACAGAAAAATGGTTTGGTTCGAGTGTAAATCTGTGCGTCAAATGAGGTGCATTTGTAAAATCTTGTTACACCCACCCACAACCAACTGCTATGCAATACTACTGTCCGATTATCAATTTGTATTTAATGGTGAATGTAGTCTGACGCCATGACCAATATTTATCAATTAAGTTTCAGTGGGAGGAAGGGGGGTTTGGAAAAAAACTAAAGGAATTAAGTTTTTTATCCGACATCGATCTTTTGACGTCGTCCCTAAGACCCTTTTTATTCTTTCCTAAGAATTGTTTGCGTCTAATAAAATATATATATAACGAGAGCAAATTGTAACATTTTAGATTGGATCAGAAAACCTGGTAAATTTGAACCGGATGAGCAATACTTCGGTATTGAGTCGTTGAGTTTAAGCATATTTTGTGTCAATCATTCCTTGATATCTTATGATGAAATGCAAGATTGTCGTCTGCATACTGGTGAAACTGCAGGTTGTGCTGACGAATGAGATTGCGTGTAAATGATTAAAAATATGGGGCAGAGCCTTGAGACGCACCAAAATTGTATCTGTGGGTGTCTGTCTGCCTCTCATCAAATCTGCTGGCGTTCCATAAATTTGCCTTCCGTACTTGCTGCACGACCCCTCTTCTTTCTTGTATAATGACGAACACTGAGGGCGCTGTCCGAAAGGTCAAACTCCTAGCGCCATTTTCAATATTGACTTTTCCTGACAGTTCCGTGGAATGTACGAATGGACTTTTATCGTTTTACATATCCTTCGTTGTTGTTCGATGATGTTAACCATGATATATAGACGTTGTACAGTGGGAATTGTATTTTGAATAGCATTTGGATAGTATTTATGACTTATTATTCACTCGCATTGTGCTCATGAATGCACCAAAACAAACTACGTTATTTACCAGCTGGGGCCCTCGTGAAAATCATGGTACACATGAGTGCGATGTTGAATTTGAAGACGACGACATCGACGATGAGGAGCTCTTTGCAGCTGCAATGGCGCTTGACAACAATCAGTTTGACGAAGGAACACGGCTAACAACTTTAGATCCTAACCTTCTAACGCCATCTCGTAAAGGAAACGACGTACACGATGAGATTTTGCCAGGTTTTGACATATCCGCTGGAAATTTATGGATCTATCCCACGAACTACCCAGTTAGGGACTACCAGTTCAATATCGTACAACAATCCCTTTTCAAAAATACCATGGTAACTTTGCCTACTGGGCTAGGAAAAACTTTCATTGCTGCTGTTGTAATGTACAACTTTTATCGGTGGTACCCACAGGGTAAAATTGCCTTCATGGCCCCAACTAAACCATTAGTTGCACAGCAGATTGAAGCATGTTACAATATTATGGGTATTCCACGAGAACATACTGCTGAAATGACAGGTTAGTACAGATTGTGTTCATCAACAACCTTGTTGCCGGTGGTGTTAATTTGTTAGCAGTGTGTCTGGAATTTCATAAAATAATATAGGCATTTTTAAAGTTTAGGTTTTCAAATACAATACGATGAAATTGGTTGAAATACGTTTTTTTTAGTAAAGTAAGTGAATAACGTTATTGATATCGTATCCTTATTGGGATCTTGAAAATAATAAAATAAAGAATGTTGTTTAAATCATGGAGCTAAAAAAATAAACAACAGCTAGCTAAAAAAGTAACAAACAAAGGTCAACAATTAGAAAATTAGATCGATTAGTAAAACAGAAAAAAAATAAAAAAGTACAAGAAATGTAAAATTGATTATTTTGGGGAAGCTACACCAGCTGAGGATAAGTTATGTTCAGTGAACAGTTTAATCCTCTTCTCTTGGTGCAGTTTGCAGTTTAGCAAAAAGTGTTTCTCGTCCTCTACTTCATCAAGATGAAGATAGTAATCGATATCAATGCCTGCTAAATTCTGCCTCTTGTCATACCCTCTTACTAATGCGTGTTCTCATATAGTAATAATAAAATAATATTTATTAACTCATATCCTCATGCGCAGTAAAACATCACCCCATATTTGGCAACTTGTCAAATACAGATAATATTTTTTGCTGTATAAGCTGAACTATTTATTCAAATCACTACAAACAACCACAGTGTGTTTTAATGATGTTCTTACAACTGTAAATGAGTACTGGTCAATAACTGTATATTCTGTGTACTTGACATTGTCTGGCTTCCATTCCACGATTGACTGAGAATGAGTAATCAGACAGAAACCATGGTAGTTTGTATTGTTGAAAATTCAAAAATTCAACAGTGTAAACTACTAGTGTATACTGCTTTCTCATGACTTGATACATTTTCATTTTTGGCTCACTAGGAAGTATGGTCCCATCAGAGAGGTTGAAAGCTTGGAAGAATAAAAGAGTATTTTTTTTAACACCACAAGTTTTGATGAATGACTTAAATCGTGGTGCTGCTGTAGCTGATCAATTGAAATGTTTAGTCATTGATGAAGCCCACAAAGCTCTTGGAAACCATGCATATTGCCAGGTATGTCATTTTTGTTCCACTAGAACTAATGCGCTGTGTATACATGTTCAATCTCTTTGTTAAACCTTCACCCCTCCCATAGATGAAGGTATAACATAAATGTAATAAAGTATATAAAACAACAAAGTGTGACTTTTTTTGCATTGTTTCACCATAGACCCATTGAGGGTCTATGGTTTCACCTTCAACCCCCCTCCCCTCAATGAAGAGATTCTGTTTGCCGTGTGAATGTTTTTAATTATCCATAGCTACTCAGATGTAAAAGCTCTTTTGAAAAGTTAGCATTAACAAATCATTAAAGTGTGAGTTTGCTGTAAATCAATACACAGCATTTTGGTTTTATACTCTTACCAGCCATTCATAGAGGGACTATGAATATGCACTTCTAATAGATGTACTTTATTTGTTCTGTAAATGTGTATTTGCAATTATAGAAGTCAAAAATGGAACATATGCTGATTCATACTAGTATGAAATGACGATGACAAATACAAATCGTCATCCAGCGACGCATATTTATGTGCTGCTGCAACCGCTATTTTTTTGCAATGCTACGTTGGCAAGAAAAAATAATTGTTTTTTGTTTCTTTTTTGTCGTTCATGTGCACAATGACTCGTAATAAATACCATAACAAATGGATATACCGGTAAATTAAGTATAGCAATTATTATTATCATCATATGCACAGCGTATTGTTTTCCATGTTTCGGCCAAATAACAGATCAACGAAAAAGTGAACGCAACTGCTGTAATCCCTCTGCAAACACAAGGGATTTAAAATTTCGGCACGTGCTGAGATCCCGTAACGTGAACGTAGTAAATGTGTATAATGGTCATGTTTGCTTTCATAGAGCACAGATGCAACTATGCTACACCAGGTTACTAGTAACTACTATTTTTCGATGGATTGATTTCTGCATATCGGCCAGAGATTGTTGTTTTTCGATTAGATGGTTGTTTGTTTACTAACTATATGCTTGAAGTTTCCAAGACAAACCATATCGACTCAGAACATAACAATGAACAATACTAAACACAAAATTAATTTCATTTAAAACAACTAGGGGTATTTCTGACTCTTACTCTTCACAGTGACGATTTGAATTTTCAAACATGATTTTCTTTGTCTTCATTGAACCTGTTATGCGATAATGAACAATACATTAGAAGTGTGTGAATGTTTGTGAAGTTTAGACTGATGCATCCTGTTTCAGCGTTTCCACATCACATGACATTGATTGACAGTTTTACCAGTTCATGTTTTCAACTTTTATTAATCAAAAACTTGTACGCTATTTATTTCCATAAATGCAACATACAATCACTGCTGTGATATTCATAACCACATTCATCCACTTTAGTACAACACAATCGAGCTTGGCTGGAGCTTTTTACTACATCAAAACGTGCAATGTGTGGGGGTGTGTGTGTTAAAATCTGTCATTTTTAAAAATATTGTGATACTTTCAAGGTGGATTGATATGTGGTAGCTGTTTTAATATGTTTATCTGTTTATGTGGCAGGTTGTCAGAGAACTGTCCAAATATACTCGGCAGTTTAGAATTTTAGCATTAAGTGCTACCCCAGGTTGTGACATTAAGGTAAGTTACACACACCATAAAAACTCGTGATTTGTTGTCATTCAATTAATAACAATTAAATATATATTATTAATTCATGACCTGTCATTGCTGCTTTAAAATTTTTATGTGGAAATAATTTGTGTTA